CAGTGATGTCTTGAGTAGCAAATTAATTAGGCGCACTTGATAGTGAAAATAAACTGAATCAAAAGGATTGATTAGATAGTGTCCACCAAATTTTAAATTACTCTTAAATGTCAACATGGGAAATAGTCAACCCAGCAACCATCAACGAAAACGGAGATAATTGTTTGGTCCGAGTTTTTGGTTTGTTTTTAAAATTAAATCACCCGATAAGACATATTGTGTTAATGATGAAATTAAAATATATATATATAAATTTTGGAAAGGCTCCGCGTGATCTCTAACTTATGGTGCAATTGAAATCTTAGACCGTTCAGATATAGAAAGATCAATGTAAAGTTAAAAGAACTACAATTAATGTGACTAGACGTGTGATTGTACAATGAGTCCATTGTCGGATCTTAGATTCATACACGGTCACTTTTTCGGATCTTGTTTGCCTATATGTTACCAATCAGAGTTTGATAAAATTAAAGATTCGATGCCATTTAAGAAGTTGCATGGCAAAATGAAGAATCTAATAGAATTTTATAAGTTTTCTTTTTTATGGAGCCCTTGACGTTTCGCTTTCAAGCAATAATTAGATGTGCTTAAGTTGGACTTTTATATAAAATGCCTTGACTATTTCGACCAAGTAAAATTTTGAATGAACTCGGTTGAATTATCCAAAAAGGGATGCAAGCATTTGTGAGTTCCACCATCCAAGATATTAAATGCAAGCCCAGTGGGTTGAATAATCATACAGGGAAAAGGTCCATTACGAAGAGAGAGAGTGAGGCTTCTTCAAATACCTCAGCAACGTGTTCTAGCAGCCAGTAGTGACCAAATCATACTAAAAGCTTTTCTGCCCTATAAATTCAATCCCCAAACACCTTCTTCTCAATCATAATCAGTTGCAACTAAATCTCATTCTTGTGTGGAAATATATATATATATACACACACTCCAAATTAAGCGTCTCCTTTTCAATATTTTAATGGATTCTGTATCTTTCTTTCCCAATATTATTGCTGCGATTTCAGCCATCCTCTTGCTTTCCAACACAGCATGTGAAGCTCAACTTTCTACTACATTTTATAGCAATACATGTCCAAATGCACTCACTACAATCCGCGCATCCATCCGGCAAGCAGTATCCCGAGAGCGCCGGATGGCTGCGTCTCTCATTCGCCTCCATTTTCATGATTGCTTTGTTCAGGGCTGTGATGCGTCAATCTTACTTGACGAAACCCCTTCTATACAAACTGAGAAGACTGCAATTCCAAACGATAATTCTGCTAGAGGTTATGAAGTGATCGAGGCTGCCAAGAGGGAGGTTGAGAAAATATGTCCAGGAGTTGTTTCCTGCGCAGATATACTCACCGTAGCAGCCCGGGATGCCTCAGCAGCTGTAAGTAGACACATATCGTATTTCATCGAGTGAATTCTGTCACTCGTTTGTGATAGCTTTGTACAGGTCATGTCTATTATGAAAATATAAATTTGACCTCAACATCGTGGGGCATCTAGTGCATGAATATCTAACCTTGTATTTTTATGAACCACAGGTTGGTGGCCCGTCATGGAATGTGAAACTTGGGAGAAGGGATTCCACAACTGCAAGTCGATCGTTGGCCAACGCTGATCTTCCAGGGCCGGATTCCGATCTCGGAGGACTCATTGCTTCCTTCGACAGAAAGGGACTCAGTGCTAGAGACATGGTTGCCTTATCAGGTAACTAAAAGTTTGATATTTGTGACATGCAAATCCATTCATCTTACATTGCTTAGATGTTGTTGGGCAACCGTAAGAGCTGACTGTGCAACGTAAAACCGCTTTTGCCGTGCAGGATCCCACACAATCGGCCAATCGCAATGTTTTCTCTTCCGTGAAAGGATATACAGCAATGGGACAAAC